ACATGCAATTCTCCACCAAGAAGTTCAGTCACAAATTTAATTAACACTTTATTTTTTTTTTAAATGACCATCAACAGCATGGAAGCATGTTCTCTGGAATGGTGGCCAAAGCATGAAGGGGCATACGAATGTTTAGCATATCTGGCACGTAAATACCTTGCAATGCCGGCTACAAAAGTGCCATGTGAAGAACCTGTTCTCACTTTCAGGTGACATTTTAAATAATAAGCGGGCAGCATTATCTCCTGTAAATGTAAACAAACTTTTCTGAGCGATTGGCTGAACAAGAAATAGCAGGGAGTGGAGTTTTACATTGTTTTGTTTTTGAGTGCAGTTATGTAACAAACAAACAAAATCTACATTTGTAAATTGCACTTTCACGACAAAGAGATTGCACTACAGTACTTGTATAAGATGAACTGAAAAATACGATTTCTTTTGTTTATCATTTTTACAGTGCAAATATTTGTGATAAAAATAATAATATAAACTGAGCACTGTACACTTTGTATTCTATGTTATAAATGAAATCAATATATTTGAAAACGTAGAACAACATCCAAAAATATTTTATAAATTACAATTGGTAGTCTATTGTTTAACAGTGTGATTAAAAGTGGGCTTAATTTTGTTAATCGCGCTTAATTTTTATGAGTTAATCGCATGAGTTAACTGCGATCAATTGACAACCCTAATTTAAATCCATGTGTTCCATTCCCTGATCTGAGGACTGACTTTACAGTTTAGGAATATGGTACCCACCCATATAATAGTACTGTTTCTTCATTGTTTATTTTTGTTCAGTAATTGGAAAATAAAAAGTTTGAGGGCTATCACAATAATAGGGATGACATTTCAAATGCATGAATTTGTCCAATTCTCTTTTCTAGTGATTACCTTAAAAAAAAATCTATTAAAATTATTATTGTTGGAAGCATTCCTCAACATCAGAATGTTTGCTTACTACTGTATGAAAATTCCAGGGCAACTTTGTCCATCTCCTTCTTTACCTACTATACACATGTATCTAGAAATAAATTAAATTGCAAAACATTAACATTTCACTTTAAATTATGATTAAAACTGGCAGCTCCGTATGATGTAAATCATGCCAAACCAAGCACTATTTGGCAATCCAGGCAGATTTAACCAGGTTAGAGATGGCGCTTTCCGGAAGAGACTCCCCTTCATACAAAAGCTGTAAGTACACCTCTACCCCGATATAACCGCGGTCCTCGGGAGCCAAAAATCTCACCGCCTTATAGGTGAGACCGCGTTATACTGGGTTTGGGCCGGTACGGTGTACTGGCAAGAGCCGGTATGCCGTGCTGGACTGGACCAGCTTCCCCAGCGGTGATTTAAAGAGCTCAGTGCTCCAGCTGATGTGGGGAGCCCTGGGCCCTTTAAATCACCGCCGGAGATCCAGCAGCAGAGCTCGAGCGGTGATTTAAAGGGCCCGGGGCTCCCCGCAGCGGCTGGAGCCTCTGGCCCTTTAAATCACTGCCCGAGCCTGGCTGCTGGAGCCCCGGTGGGGATTTAAAGGGCCCAGTGCTCCAGCTGCTGTGGGGAGCCCTGGGCCCTTTAAATCACCGCTGGAGCTCTGGCAGCGGGGCTCAGGCGGGGATTTAAAGGGCCCGGGGCGCCCCGCAGCGGCCGGAGCCTCTGGCCCTTTAAATCACTGCCCGAGCCTGGCTGCCCAAGCCCCAGGGCTCCAGCAGCTGGGCTTGGGCAGTGATTTAAAGGGCCTGGGGCTCCACACGAATTTGGATACAAGGCGGTAAAGCAGTGGCGCTTTAAAGGGCCCGGGGCTCCCCGCTGCTTTACCGCGTTATATCCGAATTTGTGTTATATCAGGTCGCATTCTATCGGGGTAGAGGTGTATACTCATTTCAACCTTATGGCCCCCTTTTCTCTCCCAAAGAGCTTGCCTACTGGCCACAATATACTTCCACAAAGGAAATCTCAACTGTGGCATCTGCAGTGCCTTCTAGGCATGGGAAAGATACTTAGATGTTCATTAAGTTTGATACGGATATAACCTTTTTGCATAGATCAAGTGTTAGAGAGGCAATTATTTTGGCTACTGGAATCTGGACACATGTGAGTGTTATGCAGACTCTAAAATAGAGCTAAGTGTCACTAGTTTAAACACAGCTAGAAATCTGTACACTGTATAAAACTGCATACTGCACAGAACAAAAGTAGTCCAACTTTGTTTAGCCTTTTTTTAACATTCACATAAATTCTCTTGTACTTCACATTATGATTTATATCTGTATTTTACCCCCAAGCTATACCACCAGAGTCAGCTGCTCCAACTACTTGCTCTAAATGACAATAACTTTGCCAACCAGTTTAATTACTGCAAGGTACAACAGGTTTCCTATTTTGAACAGCATTTTCAGGTTCTGAAAAATGAGGATGATCTGCTTTATCCAGCCTCTTGGATAACAGACCATCAGACACCAAATAGGATTTCTCAGATTTTAAATATGTCATTGTAGCTGCTTTATATAAAAAGCCTTGTCATTTTGTTTTTATGATGCCTAAAGATGAATTTGCAAGCCCAACTCTCAGTCATAAGGGTATTAAAAACACATTGAGATTGAGCACAGCTGTGAAAAATTCTAAGTTAATATAAACAGATATTTGCTAAAGAAAACTGCTGCAGCACTGAAACTCACAATCCACTGAGCACCAAAAACTGCAAGTTGTAAAACATTTTAGACAGCCAGGGTCAAGCCTCTCGGCACTAAATCTAAAGTTTCCAAGGAGGTTTGCTCCTCATTTTTCTCCCCACTGCTAGAATTAAAAATTGAGATCAGACAGTAAATTTCTCCAGTACCAAGAACTCTCCAGTAGCAGAACCGCACAGGGAGCAGGGGGAGAGACACAAGAGGACTGAGCTCTCATGTGATCACGGGAAAGGTTTAAATATACACAAGGCTAGGCCTTTGCTCTCCACAACCAACTAAGAAGTTGGGATGAAGGGTTCTAAAAAGAGTTCCTTAGGGCCTAAATCACACAGTAAGGGTTTTAAAAATGTATTAAATATTTCCTAGATCTGTGCAATCTATCTATTCCTACAAACACCTAAAGCGATTACTGCCACTGCCTAGAACTAGCATGTTACCCCATATTATATGCAGTGAAAGAAACTAGTTGTAGGCCCAAAATGTAGATTGCAGAATCAGGACCTCGTTGCACTGGGCACTAGAGGATGCATCATGAAAAGACAGTGCTTAACTTACAATCTAATATAAGATATAGAACATAATATGAATATGAGTTAATTAATTTTAATTAGAATATTTTTAAAAAATAATATTTCCCAGCTTAACTGTGAACCCAAAAACAACATGCTAGAGTAAGGACACTACAGAGTGAAAGTGACTAAGAAACGTCAATGACAATTACCAGTTTTGTTTCACTGTAGAGGCGGAGTATTTTATAGATTTCCTGAGCACCATAAGTGTCCTCTGCTCTATTAAGTGCAAAAAGAAAAACAGCAAGAATCGTAAACCACTCCATTGCAACTGAGGCATAATTAGTAAGGGCTGTGATAAGGAACACAAAATATATACACACAGAGACAACTCTCTTAAAGATCCCGTTCTAGACTCTGCATATAAAAAGATCATAGATGCAACCTGGAGCACTGAGGAGAATCCCTTATGAGTCCAACAAGAAGACACTGGGGAAATTTCTTAGTGACTATTCTCATGGTAAACCGCTACAAACAACAGAAACTAACAGCACAGGGCCCAGACTTCACAAGCATACAGACAAAAAGTGCCATAGACAGAGATGACCACAGCATGACTATTTAACTATGCATTGAAAGTCATGGTCTTCCCAGCTTTGGCTGCTACAACACATATCCGCAACACATATGGGGCTAGCAAACCCAATCCTTTTAAAGAAGGAAGACTCAGTGAACCACAAAGATAAGTCTGAGCATTTTATCATTGTATGGGGAACTCTCCACAGAGACAGTGCTGAGAGTTACTCCAGTACACCCTGTACTTGCTTTAGCAAGCCAATGGACATGTGCAACAGTATGGTAATAGTGGTACCATGAAAATATATGTTACTGATGGTTCCATTAATTCAGAACACTACAGTGTGTGTATCAAACACCTATGTGCACCACATTAAATCCAGGCAAAATTTCCTGCATTCTCTCCTATGACACTTTGAAAAAGCAAAGAGAAAAAGGAAGAAAGGGGAAGGATGGTTCCAGCGGTTACAGAGCTCATCTGGGAATGAGGAACCCAGGGTTCATTTCCCTGCTCCACTACAGACTTCCTGTGTGTCCCTGGGTCTCTCTGTCACTCTATTCCTCATCTATAAACATAGGAATAATACCACTTCCCTACCTGTGAGTTCACATACCTGGGGTCCACTATCCACTACTGAGTTCCTTTCACTTGAAACATCCACACTGGAAAAGCTGCCACAACAATGTCTAGACTGAACAAGAGGGTATGGCAAACTGACAGAACACACAAAGATCTGTGTTTATCGTGCATGTGTTATCAGTACATTTTTGTATGGGAGCGAGACATGGACCTTATACTCTCATCAGGAAAAGAGGCTCAACAGCTTTCATATGTGTAGCTTTTGTCTAATCTTTGGAATCTCCTGGAGGGACAGTCACCAACACTGAGGTGCTCAAATGGGCCAGCAATATCCAGCATACAAACTCTCCTCAAACAGAGATGCCTCCGCTTGCTTGGGCATGTATGCCAAATGAATGACGGGCGCAACCCAAAGGACATCCTCTACGGTGAATTGGCATCTGGAAAAAGACCCAAAGGACACCCAAAATTGCATTTCAAGGAAGCGAGACCTCAAAGAAATGGACATGGATGTGGACAAATGGCAAGATCAGACTCAGGACCGCAGCCTTTGGAAACAAGAGCTTAACAGAGGTCTCCGGAGTTAGCAGAGGAGAAAAGAGCTTGCAAAAGGCAGAGCCCAAAGGCTCAAAACATCACCTTTAAATGTGACAGATGCAGCAGAGATTCTCTCTCTCAAGTGGGTCTCTTCAGCCACGTTTGCGGATGCCATAAAACCAACTGAGTAAATTCTTTACCTCTCAGGGACGCATACCCATTGTCTCTGGAGACTGATGGATGCCTACTACTATTACCTACAAGGATAAATGAATTAAAGATTGCAAGGCGCTCAGATACTATGATGATAGACAGTTTTGAATCTCATCTTACTCTTTTCACTAGTATGTTTATCTAAACCAACAAACAAAAATATTGTAAATGGAACAGAGTACAGATGGCAGCACCAACCAAGGCATAGCAAACACACTTGTTATTGAACTATACTGAAATCCAACAGTATTTAGTTAGTCCTCCTTTATCATCAGTCCTACCATTTACTCTGGCAGATCTGCTACGAGGAAAGGAAGACTCCTTCGCTATAGATTAGTCTTTTAGACACTTTTTAAGAGTATTGTATAACCTGCTCATGATGAAGGATTTTTCTGCATTTCAAAAACATTTTTAAATCTTTGCCTTTTTTTTGGAAACCCCCTTGTTTAAATGGGCTCTGGGCCTATCAAGTTACAACCATAGACCATCCCTCCAAATCTCCCTCTCTCACACACACATACACACCCCAACTCCAAACCCTACCAAGTCACAATTCATCCGCTCCCCAAAAGATCACCACCCCTAAAATACTTGCCCGGCCCCTTTTCCAGCAAAGACACACCTGCAGAAGAGGGGCCACTTCCAACATGTCTCCCTTTGGCTGGGGAGGCTCTGCCCAGGTAGGAATTAGCTACATCAGATAACATTGGTACAGGTAGCACATTCCTACAGGGAGCAGTTTCTGACTCTACACCGGCACTACACCACTTCTTCCTCCACCTGCCACCCCCTATCGCCCGCCCCAACCCCTCCCTTGCATCGCAACACCCAGTCCTACTCCCCCCGCCCCTCCCAAACCGCCATCTCCCGGGCAGCAGCGACCCCCACCCAGACACAACCAGCCGCCAGCCCCGCGTCTCGAGCCCCAGCCAACCCTAAGCCTCCCCTGCAGGCACCACCCCCTCTCCCCAGAGATGCTCAGCCCCGCACCTTGGGAGGGGGGAAAGGGGCGGAGACTCACCTGGCTCCTGCTCCCGTGGGAGGGGGTGAGGGGCAGCGGCTGTCGCTCCCCGCCCCGCGCGGTTGACGGTCGGACGGGCCGGCTCGCTCTCCGGACACCCCACACACCCCTTGGCTCCACCGGGATCAGGCTGCGTCCATCTTTCCACGTCGTCACCGCCGCAGCTTCCCCTCCCCCGGCTGCGTCCGTCCCCGGCCAACGACAAGCGAGGAGGAGCATGCTGGGAAATGTAGTTCTCTCGGGGACCTCACGTGGGAGCTGGAGGCGCAAGCTGCCCAACTGCTGCAGAGCGCGTCCAC